AGTCCGCGAGCGAACTATACCGACCGAGTGTCCGCCGCTTGTCGGCGAAGTTAGTGCCAACTTTAGCGGATAGAGGGTGTCGCGTGGTCAGCGCAATGGCTCCCCAAGGCCGTTAATCTCGGTTTTCTAGACCAGAGCCGCTACTGCCTCAAAATAGCTCCACAGTTATCCTCACGAGGCTGAGTGGACCCCGTTCTAGACCCTCTACTTCTCAGAAAATCTGGCAGCGCCCACGACTGCACTTTGTGTAGGTCTGTGCATCATGGCGGTGAGTATGAAGGGACTAACATCGCCTGGCCTCAAAGTTCCCGACCTAAGATCCTACTCCCTCCAGCTTCAGCCAGTCTACGTATAGAGAGACTGCATGGTATCGCTGTAATCACCAAAGTTCTGTTAGTGTTCCATACTGGCAGAACTATGTAATGAGAAGTTCTGAATGAGGCCGGCATGTAATTCGATACCTTCCCGACATGTGTTCCTGTTGTCATTAAAGAACCCGGAGCTTCCCACCCTCACGCACGTCACTACGTGCTAAAGAATGACGTCATTTCCGTTGCATCTAGTACTAAAAGTGTATTGTCACGTTGTGCTGCTGATGATGATATTATGTGTTTTATAGTAGGTCTATTTTTCTTACTGTGTGTCCTGTTGTCGTCACAGCATGGGTCTGTGTTTAGTTTTTGATGTGATGGATAGAGAGAACCGGATGGCCGTAGCTGAGTTGCTCCAAGACCAAATAAGGGATATCATCCGGTTCCAGTTGTGCGTGATCCTCTATTCGATTCCATTCGATGCCACTGCAGACCTCTTTTAATTTGTCAAGGCCGATTGTGAGAAATACAGGATACACAAATAAGAAACGAACCAATAACACAAGGTATAACAAATAAACGGCTGTCCATTAAAAATAAAACAATACTGTAACGAACTTTTAGTTGCTGTATTGTCACGAATCTTTACTGTGTTCACCACCAAAGCACATACCCGCCTTTTCACTTTCTAATGTTTCTGCCTTGCTTGGAAACATCACTGGAAATAATTTTCAAAATGGTTATTCAGACTTTACAAATCAGGCCCTTTGGTTTATCCCAGTCAAGAAGTCATCTATCCCGGAATGTTTTCAGACTGTTCAAAATAAAACAATTTCAAGGAGAAAACAAAAAAGAAAATTTAAAGACATCCTAAACCGTCCAAAACAGAGATCAAAATTACCAACACGCCTATTTTATTTCAGCTGAATTATGCCTTGTGAGGTTAGAAATTGGGAAATATTAATATTTCATCCAATTAATAGATGAAAAATAATTAAAAATTGATCAATTAGCACATAAACCGCAACACGCTGTAAATAACAGTGCCCCAAGCGGAAGTAGAATTTGTCCCTGTACTTAAATAATTAAGCACTATGCCATGAAGACGTATGGGGGAGTGGCTGTATAGATCCACGTTTTCTTGACCTCGGCTCTAGCTGGAGGTGAGTGGTCAGCTCCACGCGCCTGCCGTTTTACCCCCGGAAAATGTGTCCCTTGTAGCCACTGGATAAGGGGCTGGGTGGACTCCTGAGCCGGTCTGGGCGACATGGAGAAAATTATTGACCCTACTAGGACTTGAACGCTGACCCCTCGGTCGTCCAGCCTGTAGCCAGTTGCTATACCGACTGCGCTATCCCGGCTCCTGATTGTAATTCGACAATAAAGTGAAAATTAGTTAACTGTGTTAGCGTGCTGGGCTCGTGCTTATGTAGTCAGGGTCGAATCCTACTCGGGGCAGAATTCTTTTACTGCCTGCTACTGTACTTCACGGACTGTTACTGCAGTTGTCACTATGTTACTTTCTTTTGCGGAGGAATTCTTAATTTAATTCAAAACTTGCCGGATATAACTAGATATCAAATAACAGTAAACTCGCTCCTACCTTACAAATTCGTGCGTCCACCATGTTGTCATTAAGTGTGGATCACTAATAAGTCCGAGTTAAGGTAACCTCCAGTGGCACAATTTCCATACCAATTTTATTAAAATCGGTCTACTCTTAAAAGATGAGCAAATAATAATTAGAGCACGACACGATTTGCCTTCTTTTTTTCGGTAAGAAGGGAAAACTGGCTGTAACTTACGTATAATCTGCGATATGGACATTCATAACATAACTTTTTTTTAAGAAGTTTCACTAGAGGCGCATATAATGAACCTTTTTGTGATGAATCTCTGACACATTATTCCGGGGGAAATTTATCAGAAAATAATATGAAGAAAGCAGTCTTCTGGGATTTGGCACCGTGTATATGTGGTGTTAACCGACGTTTCGGAGGAACGTATCGCCTCCATCTTCAGGGTAGAAGAAAAAATATAAGAAATCCGCAAGCGAAGAGACCGTGAGAACCGGTAAAAGCAGGCTGGTCCCAGAAGACTGCATTCTTCATAGTCACCGCCGTGAAAGCCTCAAATCTTACATAGAAAATAATATTATTGAATTGTCTTTGAAATCTCCAAGAAGTGATAAGATTTTATACTGATGAGAAAACACAAACACTGTAATGTATCACAGCTCAGAATCATCAGTGTTTTCGAGCATAATGCCCGCACATTTTGAGCTTCATTCCCAGGAAATGAGTCACACAGTTGCTGTTATCACCACACGCCGTTTGTAACTCTTTTTATATGTTTCTCGACGAATCTCACATTTATTTACCCTTCACGCATACTCTCCCCGTTACAACTCATCCCTTCCCAGTCTTTTTAACAACCCCTAACATACCAAGTCTGCCTCCGTCCCTCTGCTAATGGAGAGCTTGTCACAATGAGGAAAGAGCAGGAAGTTGCAACAATACAGACGGACAGACTTAAAAACTATGTTTAGTTCTGAAGAAAGCAGTCTTCTGGGATGTGGCACCGTGTAGCTGTGGTGTTAACTGACCTTTCGGATGAACGTATCGCCTCCATCTTCAGGGTAGAAGGAAAAATAAGATAATCCGCAAGCGAAGGGACTGCAGTCTGCTTTTACCGGTTCTCACGGTCCCTTCGCTTGCGGATTTTCTTATTTTTCCTTCTACCCTGAAGATGGAGACACGTTCCTCCGAAACGTCGGTTAACATCACATCTACACGGTGCCACAACCCAGAAGATTGCTTCCTTCATAGTCACTGCCGTGAAAACCTCAAATCTTACATATGTTTAATTCTGTTTTCTGTATGGACAAATGTATGGAGTTGCCTTAAAGAATAAATGGGAAAACAGAAAAACGAAACTGACACTGAAAGATATTTAGGGTCTGAGAGAGTTGTGTCTGCATGAATCATATTAGTATCCTGTCTTCTTGCCTCGGGGGATCGTAGAAATGCAAAACGACTTATACCATTTCCCAGTATGTAACCAGGAACTAAGAGCACCTCAAATTTCATAGAGATTAAATTCGGAAAATGCTTGCTAACATTCAGAATCAGTTGTATGCCCGTCTCCTATCCGTGAATATACAGATTAAACCGTAATTTAGGAAGTTATCTTGCATGGGTGTGACACACGGTTCCAAAGATGTAGGGGAAAATACAGACTGCGTTTGAGAGTGTGTGCTGAGGAAAATACTTAAACCAAAGATGGATTAAGTAACAGGAGGGCGAAGAAAATTACATAACGATAAGCTTCACAGTCTTTCAGTTCACCATACAATTAGGGTGATCAAATGAAGAGATGGGAAGAGCATGCAGCACCTGGAGATGAGACAAAGATACAAAACCCTGTCCGAAAACAGGAAGGAAGGTGTTCACTTCCGAGAATATGACGTCAGTGAAAGAATATTGAAACTGATCTTGAAGAAACAGGATAGGAGGGTGCGGACTGGATTCATCTGGCATGGGACAAAGACCAGTGGCGGGTTCTTTAGAACACAGCACTGAAACTTCGCGTTTCGTAAAAGAAGGGTAATTCCTTGACTAGCTGAGAGACTTCAGGGTCTCTGCTCCATAAATTATTTAGGTGGATGACACCCCATACTGAATTGAGTCTAGTGCGTACGAAGGAGGAGATTTTCGCGATTTTACTCACTCCTTTCGGATACTTCCCGGATGGTAGCTTAAAACAGATGTATCGGTAAGTTTACAGTAAGAAATATTACGGGCTTTTCTCTAAAGTTTTGTAACTGGTTGTTTCACAGCAACCTGCTTTAATATACGCGCCATTTTTAGACACGTAAAATAAAGGCACATCTTTATGTGAAGCTGTAGCCGCGGCGACTATGAAGGGTGCAGTTTTCTGGGATGTGACGCCGTGTAGTCTGATTACCAACGTTCCTCCGGAACGTCGGAAAGCTTCTCCCAGATTCTACGGCATCATCCCACAGGACAGTATCATTCAAACTTATATTTAATGTTGTCGCGGGAAGCAGTGGAGTTACGTCGCCTGGCCTGCACGCGCCTCTTGTCGATCGAAGTATCGAGACCCCGTAAATTTAAAATATGTGTCCTGTAAAATGCATGGACTAAAACCGAACTCACGTCGGCGGCCTCATTAATTCACAGCAACTAAATAGACGTATATTATGGCACATTTTGAATTACTGTCCCGTCATTTGCCTGAATGAACTATTCAGATCAACACAGAGAGATAAGAGTCGGCAATAACATCACACAGGGACTATATGCTGTAACAAGTAGCAATTTTAACAGCCAATACCATGTTCCAAATTATGCATTCAGAAAGCGAAGAAGTTTGCTGTGTGTCGGATTAACATGTTATTCAAAACGTATCAAATCTATGAATCAAAGCATTCGTTAACAGTTCAAACACAAGACAATCGTCGCTTTCGATACTTCTACTTAGAAACTCAGTGGGGGCTGAAGCTTTCCTAAAATCTCCTTCGCTGCTCCCCGGGAGTTCTCTTTGAACCAACAGCCATTGTTATTGGATCAGATATGGAAATATAATGGAACGCATGCGCTCTAATATCTGACGCACCAAAGTGAAAAGAAATCCGATAGATCGGTAAACTTGAGCCATGTAGCCTACCTTTCCCTTGCTTGGTGCGGAGTGCCACAAGGCTGGAGACCACTCTAGCCCGGTGTGCCGAGTTCTTCACGCCCAGGTCCTTGATGTCCGCCTCCGTGAACGTCAGAAGATCCTGTATGACATAATTACACACATTATAAGGATTCTGGATACCTACTCACTTGCTCTTAACCACTCAAAAGCACAGCGGTCACTATATGCAACACCTACTCAAGATTCATCATTTCTCATACAGAGTGTCTTTACGGGGGTCTCATGATTCGCAGACCAAAAACCGTTATGTCTCTAACAGCAAGAATCAGTTGATGTTTGTGATAGAGACTCCCTGTATATACTGAGAGATATAGACTGAATTTGTAAATATTACTTACATGACAGAGTGGATAATTCTCAGTCCAGTGTGACATACAAGTTTACAACACTTCAGTCTTTATTCACCTTACATGTTTCGATTCAAAAGAATCATCCTCAGAGGGGTACCACTACGATCAGGAAACACTGTCACATAAGATGTTTTAACCATATGAACTTAAGCTATGAATAATGCTCACTATATAAATTTTGTTATTATCACGGTTGGTTTTGGTGTTTGTCCCAGGCATTCACGATGGCGCTTCTTTAAGAGTAGACTTACATATGATGCTGTTTCTTTTAAGCGTATTTGCTGGGTATTCTGACTAGGATTTTCCACTGCACGCGATATGACGTTCACTTTTTCATACATAGCCTCCATGGGAAGACAAAATTTATATAGTGAGCATTATTCATAGCTAAAGTGCATATGGTTTAAACATCTTATGTGAGTGTGTTTCCTGATCGTAGCGGTACCCCTCTGATGATGATTCTTTTGAATCGAAACATGTAAGGTGAAAAAGAGTGAAGTGTTGTAAACTTGTATGTCACACTGGACTGAGAATTATCAACTCTGTAATTAGTAGTGTGACGGACCAAAATGAGACAAATCAAATTACTTACATGAGTTTCATGTTTCTGAGTGTTGACAGATATGTGGATTTTGTTTTACTTCTGTTCTCTTGTTAATCTATGTAAAGCAAGCGACTGTTTCACCTAAGAGAACTGCAGAACACTATTTCAAAACTACGGAATATGCATTGGAATTGTATGCGAGTTAACTAAAAGATGGGCCCACCACGGCAGCCCTGGTTCGAGCTCAGGTCAGGTCACGTGGGATTTGTGGTGGACAAAGTGGCACTGCAGCAGGATTTCTCTGAGTGCTTCGGTTTCCCCTGCCAATTCTCATTCCACAGACTGCTCCACACTCATCATCTATCATCCGGGGCTGGTACAATAAGCCAATTAATGGCAGACGTACCGCGCGGACTCAGTGTCACCCTACCCTAAGAAACTGAACTACATAAAAGTTATTAGGCGTTTTCTCCTTATATTTATGGTTCTCGTCAGACAACTGATCTTATTCTAGTTTCTTAAATAGTGTAAATTTCACTGTCTTGTTTTAGCCGACTTAACTGGTTTTAGAAAAGTTATTATGCATGTTGTCAATAGGACAAACTGATCTGAAGCAGACACGTACACGTGACCATTACTAAATGACTCCTAGCGGAATGAGAGAGAAACCTTAATATCTGCAAATTAATGAATCAGAGAATCGGATTACTGAGTCGAAAGCATGTTATGTTTTATATTTCATCATCCCGCTGCATTGAGGTATTATCCTTATTATATACAGGGTGTTTCACGACTTTAGGGCATAACTGCAGCAGGTGATTTCTTAGATCTTTGTGATCAAAAAAGTTCATATAAACATGTGTCCGTATGTGGACGGTCACGGAGTTAGACCGTATTTCCATTCTCGTACACGCCCTCGTGTGAACCGCGTCTGTCAGCTGGTGGGTCGCTATTTTTAGCCAGCAACAGACAGAGCGTTCTTGTTAGCTCGACACTTGAGAGCTACCTAAGGCGGGGTGGGTTGGTATGTCCGGCGCGGTTCACAACCGAGCGGCAGCCTGTGTTGCGGCCGGCGGTGGCATTTTCGAAAATCAGCTTTAAGCACCAATCAATTCAAATTAAAGGTAATTTCACGAAGTTAACTTTACATTCATACTTTAAATGTATCATGTATTATGCTGGTTTATTATTTTGTTCCGTTTATTGTCAGTAATCGTTACCTTCTATTCTGAGTTTAAAACGGTCATAACTCCGTAACCGTCCAAAATCGGACACATGTTTATGAACTTTTTTGATCACAAAGACCTAGGAAATCACCTCCTGCAGTTATGCCCTAAAGTCGTGAAACACCCTGTATATGTAGAACTAGACACTTTCCAGAAATTGTGAAAATCACTTTTAATGTATAAAATATACCTTTAGTGTCCTATTGACATTTTAATGATTTTAAGATCACAAAGTATTAAAAAACATTTTTAGTGAGTGACATATTCTTGATGTCTTTTATATTGTTGCATTATTGACGTGTACTTTGATAATAGGGATCAATAGTATGGTTATTATTGTTATTATTATTATTGCCGGGTGTGTTAAAGAAAGTCTGTTCATGGTTCACCTCAACTCCTTCGAACTTTTCGAACACACTCGCATATTGTCCCAGGTCCAGGACGTTGAGCCACTGTCGAACATCAAGATGAGGCTTCGGAGACAGGGGCATCTTGCGGCGCGACAAGGAATTCAGAGACGGGAACCGGAAGCTCCAAGTGATACCTAAAGAGGACAAAGAAAAACGTACAGTTATTACAAGAATAAAACATAATAACCAGCCAATGATATTCTTTTAGCATTTTTAGTTTTCAAATGTATCAGTAACCGATATTGTATTTGCAACAGGTTCATCGCAGGAAGTTTGCAAATCAAACTGAAGGTAGAGGTGACGTTCCAACTCTCATTATAGCCAAGATACGCAAAGAGAAACAAAAAAATATATATATAAATTTACAAGAATTCCAAAGTAACAGTTCCAACGAACGTTACAGAAACGTTCCATGAAACAAACTGAAGCGTCAGACAAAAACTTTGGTTTAACACAACCCTTTAACTTGACTCCAAGAAAGAGGGCCCTTCTTGAAACGCTAATAGTAGGCCAGGTGGTCACGAAATTTCCTGCTTTTTATGAAACCCGAAATTCCATTGGTGTGCTCATAACAGCCCGAGATTGGGCTATATACTGAGTAAGATAAAACCAGTACATGACCTTATTTTTCTAAGGCCCATTTTAATATTATCCTACATCTACGCCTTGGTCTAACAAATGAACATTCCTTCAGGTTTTCCGATAAAAATTTTATAGGAATTCTTGTCATTTCTGCTGTGTGCTACATCATCGTTAATTTGATATTGAATTTAATATTCATTTATTAAAATTAATGGATAAACGGGAAGTATACTGCATGAACATGTTACAGTCATAGGAAAATATGCCCGTAAAATATACTGTTTTGTTATTTTACTCTTCGCTGTAGGATAGCATCGCATAAAGCAACTTCACCTGAGGACAGTTCGCAGGTTCCTATTGATATGGACGCCCTCTTTTAAGGAGTATTAAATTCTGGTTTGACACTGCAATAATTCTGTACTTCCATATTTCACAGTAAATCATGACTTTACCTTTAATATCCAGCCTCCGATCCTGTATATGAAAGTCGGACAGAAGGCTCTGTATCACATTTCGCGCTTATCCTATCAATATCCTACACAACATGGAAAGTCATGTTCAGAGTGTAACACTTTAAATCACCCTACATGTCATGTAACGATTTAATGCTGTGAGACCATCAACTACATAAATACACGTATTATGTCCGAATTTATCCTTACGTGCTTATCTTCACGGCGCGCGGTAGTGTAGTTGGTAGAGGCACTATGCTACAAGCTGGAAGTCCGCGGGTTCGATTCCCGATGAGGTCACTGGAATTTTTTTTTCAACTTACCTAATCCTTCGAGCCGCACTATGGCCCTGGGGTCGACTCAGCGTCTAACAGAAATGAGTACCAAGAATATTCTTGGAATATTCTCAGGGGTAAAGGCAATCGGCTCACAGATGGCGGTAAGGTTGTCAGCCTTACGTACCGTCCACCCTTTCCCCACAGGAAGATTCCCGGTACTCATTTCTATTAGAGACTGAGTCGACCCCAGGGCTTCAGTGCGGCTGGAAGGGTTAGGTATATTGACAAAAAACTCATCGGGACTCGAACCCGATAATGCCTCAACCAACTATGCTCTTTCAGATTTAGTAGTATTTTTAATCTGATTACTTTGTTCAATTAGTCTGATAATGTTTCTGTCGGGACAAAACATTAAAGCATGATAACCTTTTGTCAACAAAGTTTGTTCACACTCTTAAGCACACTTTCTCTCGCCTGCTGATAGACTGTTTCATCATAATGTCGACCTTGACATGGCCGAGATAAAAATGCAATATGTAGGGACGACAAAGGTGGGTTTGTTTCGCAGTCTTCCTATACCGCGTCCTGTCTTAGACCTTGACACTGGCAAAGGCATTTGTATTTCCGCCTGCGCAGTGTTTCTTTCGCTGGTTCCTGATCATTCCCGTCAATTACAGAGCAAACATGCGACTATCAGGGTATACGTCTGTTCCCAATTTCAAGCAGCATATTGTCACGTCTCCTGGTACAGCGACAAAAAATTAATGGCTTTCAGATTAGATGAAGCTGTTTATTGGATACGTTGTTTACAATTGCAATTGAAATCACTCTGAAATAGCGTCTTCTGGTCGATGCAACAACCTGGCTAGTGTGTCGTCTTCTGGTTCTTAGCTGAGCTGGTTTCTTCCGCTCCGTTCGTCTCTGTTCTCTTTTCCGCTTTGCTCTGGTCTGGTCTGGTTTGGTCTGGTCTCCGGTCTCGCGACCGTGGGGATTACGTTGCGCTCAAGACGCGACATCCTCTATCCGCTAAAGCTGGCACTAACTTCGCCGACAAGCGGCGGTCGCTCGGTCAGTATAGTTCGCTTGCGGACTACAGGCCACGGAGTTTGTTTTTGTTTGTCTGGTCTCTCATATTCTACCGTCGGACGGACTAGAAGACACCTTTTTCAAGGGTTTCGTTTCTCGTGTTCTATGCACCGGTAGCTAGTCTATTCGTTGCCAAGTGAACTACACTAGTTCTGGCTTTCATTTCCGTGGGAACGGTCTGTTATGAAAGCGCTGTCTCGGAAACGTGCATGAACGGTTGCCTAGCAAATGGTTAATTCCTTGTCTGGCTCCACTATTCCGGCTTTCAGGCAGTGTTAACGAGCGTTGCTCAGCAATGGTCTGTTCCAGCTTGTTGTCTCGGCAACGTGATTCAAGAAGCCGTTGTCTAGAAATGGACGCCCGCTCTTTTCAGATATTCCGGCTTTTAGGCGGCACGCCACAATATGTTTCGTCCATGAGCTGAACACTGGGGTATCACAGATGTATCTCTTTACGATATTGAAATTCAGTCGGTTTCAGAAAGGGGGGCGGATGTGTTAGAAATATGAACCGGTGTCAGCTTCAAAACTAGACGTTTTGTCCGCAGCGTTTGTGTTTATTCCGTCCAATGAGTTATCGATCAGAGCATCCAGCGCCCTGACATCTCCCCCCCCCCACTTGCGGTATTTTACTAAACAAAGCCTCCGCAGCTGAAACGGCGGTTAGCGACTTCTTGGTTGCTGAAGAGACTCAAAGCATGCGCATTGCTTCTTCCTATGAAATTATGATTATCAATCCAAGTGTGTAGGTCATGTAGCACGAGTGGGGGAGAAGAGGGATGCATATAGGATATTAGTGGGAAAGCCAGAAGGAAAGAGACCACTGGGAAGACCAAGGTGTAAGTGGGTGGACAATATTAATATAGTTCTTAGAGAGATAGGATGGGATGGTATGGACTGGATTTATCTGGCTAAGGATAGGGACCAGTGGAGGGCTCTTGTGAACACGGTAATGAACCTTCGGGTTCCATACAATGCTGGGAAATTCTTGAGTAACTGCAGATTTGCGGCTCCTCAAGAAGGGCTCAGCTCCACGAGTAATCCATTCTTATTTTAACGTGTTATTTATACAGAGTCGTTTTCTTGTAGGACATGAAAGCGTACAGAGTTATTTCGGAAGTCACCTGCGTCGTCAGGCAGGCGCTTTTGTTTATCAGAACTGAACTAGAGTCAGACTGCTAGCAGACGCCGTCCATGGCGTACAACGGTACTGCTCTGTCCCACTCCGAACTTCTGTTTTGCTCTCATTAGTAGTACCTAGATATGGCTCGCCTCTTTATATAATATGGAGCGGTTGGCCCTATCTCATCAGACGCTAGAAGGTAACATACATTCCATAACTACAGACTTTGTTTGTTTTCTGATGTGACGTAACTCCTAGGTCAAATAAAGATAACGTTAAGGAAATTGTGTACCCTAATAATAAAATGCCGATCACAGTGGCCGCGCAGTTTAACGCATGAAATGTCTTCACCCGCTCGAACGCTGTGATCGTGGGTTCGAATCCCACCCAAGGCATGGATGTTTGCGTTTGTTCTGTGTTAGTAGAGGCCTTGCGTCAGTCTGATCCCCGTCGAAGGGGTCCTTACCAACTGTCTTAAGATTAAGAAACTAAAATGAACCGAAGCGTTTCACGGATGTCCTATGCTCCAAGTGGAGGCGTTATAGGATGGATGGATGGATAAACAGAGATACAGATAGACAGAATAAACAAAATTGTTCAGAAAACTGAGGAAAGTGTTTCTCTTTACTTTCCTCAGTGGAAAATTGAGGCTAACACATAATGCAACGCTGATTCAAAGGCTGCCTGAAGTAAAAATATGAGTGAAAACAATTTCTATGTTTTACTGTCCACTCCGCAGATCGGTCATAAAAAATAATGTATAACATAATAAAGATAATTTTGAAAGGCCGAACAGTTATTATTTAGAAGATAAATTCATATATCTGTACTGGGAAGGTAATTAGTCTTCGGTATTCACTGCAGTAGAATCCGCGACAGCTCAGTCGGTATAGCGACTGGCTACGGGTTTGACGACCGAGGGGTCGGAGTTTGAGTCCCGGTAGGATGAAGAGTTTTCTGCACGTTGTTCAGACCAGTTCTGGGGTCAACCGAACCTCCTATCCATTGGGTACTGGGGGGCTCCTTCCCCGGGGGTAAAGCAACCGGGGCGTGAAGCTCACCACTCACCTCCAGCCAGTGCCGAGGTCAAGAAAATTGAGATATATGCGTACATCTACTCCCACATAAGCTTTCATGGCATAGGGACAACTGTGCCTTTTGCCTATTCCCCGCAGTCTTTGTGAACATGGCATTTTAGACAAACAGGTGCCATAATGAAAGATAATCTCTCCAACGTACCTTCTAATTAGGATGGGAAGTTTATTAGAACCCTTGATAACGAAAGGTGTGTGTTCTTTCGCCTTCCCCGTCCCTTTGCACTACAGCCCCAGTGGGTCTAAGCCTACCTCCATGAACTCCGTTCACTTCGTTTTTTCTAGTTAGTTATTAGAGAGGGTGGGTTTCCCCATGCACTCAGACCTGTATTGGTCCATTGTGCTTCCCTCTATGATATTCTACCAGTCTCTATATCCTACCGGTACTGGTGCTTACCATCAGTCCCTCCCAGCCAGCGAGATCGGTCTCTACTAGCTGAGTGGTATCTATAATGCTTCCCCCATCTACCAGAGGTATTAGAGACTACTGTGGGCGGGAAACGTCCGTAATTTTGCTCAG